TAATTTCCAGGTTTTTTTCTTTTTGTTTTTGTTTTGCTATTAGTAAGTAAAAGTGAGATGAATACTTCTGTATCAATCTTGATCCTTATTTTAGATAATTTCCCTTTCATTCCTCCCATTTCTTGAGTGCTTCCTATGGTCAGGTGCTGTGCTGTGTGCTGGGGATAGAGGAGGTAGGACTGAGGTAGATGGGATCTTTGCTTTTGAAAAGTTCACATCCTAAGGGTTGGACAGATACTAAACGTACAAAGAAGGCCAATACTTGGAGATGGTGCTGGGTACTACCAAGGAAAGAAATAGGGTGTGTGACAGAGAGTACCTGGAAAGGGCACTAGCCAGCTTTTTTGGGCAGGGAGGTCAAGGCAAACTTGTCTGAAGAGATGAGACAGGCCAGGAAAATCAGGGCAGAGGCCAGGGCAAGGCAAATGTGGTGCCTAGAGCTTCACACACCCACACCCACACCGCCCCTCGCCCACACACATTTTTTTGTTTTTTGACAGATTTTCACTCTGTTGCTCAGGCTTGGTCTCAGCCCACTGCAACCTCTGCCTCCCAGGTTCAAGTAAGTCTCCTGCCTCAGCCTCCTGAGAAGCTGGGATTGCAGTAGAGCTTCATACTTAAGGAGGCACTCACTTGCAGGCTTGTGCAGATGCAAAGTTGGCTTTTGCATAACCCTGGGAGTAGGTGCCTCCTTAAATTTTGCACCCTCAGCAACTCCATCACCTGTCATTTTGCTAGTCCCAGCCCTGAGGGAACACGTGCAGGAAAGGCATTCCAGGTAGAGGGAACAGCAAGTGCAAAAATCCAGAGGCCAGAAAGGCTTGGTGTGTTTCAGGAATAGAAACTTGGTTCCCATGACTGAAATGGAGTGGGAAAATCCTCATGGAACCAGAGAGGCAGAACCACCAAAAGGAAGAAGAAAAACATGTTGGAAGTTATGAGAGTTGCTCATGCTTGATTGATTGATTGATTGATTGATTACTTTTTGAGAGGGAGTTTCGATTTTGTTACCCAGGCTGAAGTGCAATGGCGCGATCTCGGCTCACCGCAATCTCCGCCTCCTGGGTTCAGGCAATTCTCCTGCCTCAGCCTCCTGAGTAGCTGGGATTACAGGCACGCGCCACCATGCCCAGCTAACTTTTTGTATTTTTAGTAGAGATGGGGTTTCACCATGTTGACCAGGATGGTCTCAATTTCTTGACCTTGTGATCCACCCGCCTCAGCCTCCCAAAGTGCTGGGATTACAGGCTTGAGCCACCGCGCCCAGCCTATGTTTGATTTATTTAATTTTAATTTTATTTTATTGAGATAGAGTCTCACTCTGTAGCCCAGGCTGGAGTGCAGTGGCATGATCTAGACTCACTGTAACCTCCACCTCCTGGGCTCAAGTGATTCTCTCATGCCAGCCTCCCAAAGTGTTGGGATTACTGGTGTGAGCCACTGCTCCCCACCTCAAGCAATTTCTTAGTTTTTTTATTTTTTTATTTTTTATTTTTAACTCCTACCATGGAAATAATTAACCCTCAAAAACACTCAGTGTTGACAAAGGGTGGTGTGAGGACACAGATGGTATCAGAGTATCATTGGCAGAAACTTCTTGGAAAGGAACTTAACAGTCTGTATCCAAAGACTTAAAATCATTAATAGACTTTTCCCCAATAATTCAATTTCTGGGAGTCTATCTTGAGGAAATCTGCCATAGTCCAAGTGATTTTTTTTTATTCCCCTTAAGAAACAGTCTCATCCTATTGCCCAGGCTGGAGTGCAGAGGCACCATTATGGCTCATCTCACCCTGAAACTCCTGGGCTCAAGTGATTCTCCCACCTTAGCCACCCAAATAATTGGGATCACAGGTACACTCTCCACATCCATATGCTTAGTTGGATAATATTTTGACCAATAAAGAAAAAGAAAGAAAGGTAGTGCAAGAGAGTGTGCCCAGCTGCTCAAGCAATTTCTTTTTTTTTTTTTTCTTGAGACTGAGTTTTGCTTTTGTTGCCCATGCTGGAGTGCAATGGCCCAATCTCCACTCACCACAACCTCCACCTCCCAGGTTCAAGCGATTCTTCTTCCTCGGCCTCCCGACCAAGTAGCTGGGATTACAGGTATGCGCCACTACGTCCGGCTTATTTTGTAGTTTTAGTAGAGACAGGGTTTCTCCACATTGGTCAGGCTGGTCTTGAACTCCTGACTTCAAGTGATCTGCCCACCTTAGCCTCCCAAAGTGCTGGGATTACAGGAGTGAGCCACTGCACCCGGCACTCAAGCAATTTCTTACTTGTCTAATTTAAAAAAGTTTTTAAATTTTTTGTAGAGATGGGGGTCTCACTATGTTGCTCAGGCTGGTCTACAACTCCTGAGCTCAAGGATCTTCCAGTCTTGGCCTCCCATCACTGGGATTACAGGAATGAACCACACCCGGATGATTTTCTTTTCTTTTCTTTTCTTTTTAAACACAGAGTCTTGCTCTGTCATCCAGGCTGGAGTTCAGTGGCACGATTTCGGCTCACTGCAACCTCTGCCCCCTAGGTTCAAGCAATTCTCATGTCTCAGCTTCCCCGAGTAGCTGGGACTACAGGTGTGTGCTACCATGCCGGGCTAATTTTGTATATACATATATATACGTGTATATATATATATATACATATATATATGTATATATATGTATTTTTTTACTTTAATATACTTTAAATAAAGATGGGCTTCACCATGATGGCCAGGCTGGTCTTGAACTCCTGACCTCAGGTGATCCACCCACCTCAGCCTCCCAAAGTGCTAGGATTACAGGTGTGAGCCACTAAGTGTGGCCTAATTTTGTATTTTTTTTGTAGAGACCAGGTTTTACCATGTTGGCTAGGATTACAGGTGTGAGCCACTAAATGTGGCCTAATTTTGTATTTTTTTGTAGAGACCAGGTTTTACCATGTTGGCTAGGCTGGTCTCCTGACCTTAAAGGGATCCACCCACCTCGGCCTCCCAAAGTGCTGGGATTCAGGTGGGACCTGCATTTTCTCTCTCTCTCTTTTTTTTTTTTTTTTTTTTTTTTTTTTTTTTGAGACAGAGTCTCACTTCGTCACCAGGCGCCAGGCTGGAGTGCAGAGGCACAACCTCAGCTCCCTGCGACCTCCGCCTCCTGGGTTCAAGCAATTCTCCTGCCTCAGCCTCCCAAGTAGCTGGGATTACAGGCGCGCGCCACCATGCTTCGCTAATTTTTTTGTATTTTTAGTAGAGAGGGGGGTTTCACCATGTTGGCCAGGATGGTCTCGATCTCTTGACCTAGTGATCCGCCCACCTCGGCCTCCCAAAGTGCTGGGATTACAGGCATGAGCCACCGTGCCCGGCCTCTTTTTTTTTTGGGGGGGGGGGACAGAGTTTTGCTCTGTTGCCAGGCACCAGGCTGTAGTGTAGTGGCGCGATCTTGGCTCACTGCAACCTCCGTCTCCCGGGTTCAAGCAATTCTCCTGCCTCGGCTTCCCGAGTAGCTGGGACTACAAGTGCATGCCACCACGCCCAGCAAACTTCTGTATTTTTTAGTAAAGACGTGGTTTCACTGTGTTGACCAGGATGGTCTTGATCTCTTGACCTCATGATCCGCCCGCCTCGGCCTCCCAAGGTGTTGGGATTACAGGCGTGAGCCACCGTGCCCGGCCGACCCGCCTTTTCTCTTTCTTCTTCCTTTCTCCCTCCCTTCCTTCCTTCTTCCCTTCCTTCCCTCTGCCACTCAGGCTGGAGTGCAGTGGCAGGATAAGTCACTGTAGCCTCGACCTGCTGGACTCAAGTCATCCCCCTGCTTCACCCTCCTGAGTTCCTGGGACCACAGGCATGCACTACCACGCCGGCTAATTTTTGTATTTTTTTGTAGTCCCCATCATTTAGAACTGTCAGAATCCTCCCTTAGTGAGGGATTGGTGGCCATAAGCAAGGAGCCCAAGGTGGAGGGAGTATGCATGTGTGTGGAAGTATCAACTCCTTATGATCTTCAACTACTTTTGGTAACAATTTTTAATTACACAAGTGAAGTATAAAAATGCTTTCTTTGCAACATAAAATGGTAGGTTAAGCCAGGTGCGGTGGCGCGTGCCTGTAGTCCCAACTACTCGGGAGGCTGAGGTGGGAGGATTGCTTGAGCCCAGGAGTTCTGGGCTGTAGTGCGCTATGCCGATCAGGTGTCCGCACTAATTTCGGCATCGATATGGTGACCTCCCCGGAGTGAGGGACCACCAGGTTGCCTAAGGAGGGGTGAACTGCCCCAGGTCGGAAACGGAGCAGGTCAAAACTCCCGTGCTGATCAGTAGTGGGATCGCGCCTGTGAATAGCCACTGCACTCCAGCCTGGGCAGCAGAGTGAGACCCTGTCTCTAAAAAAAAAAAAAAAAAAAAGATAGGTTAAGACTCCTTATGCAAATAGGGTTTAGACACTTGTTTGAGGAGCATCTGAGCCCACCTTTTAAAAAACGTGTATGCAGGCCGGGTGCGGTGGCTCACACCTGTAATCCCAGCACTTTGGGAGGCCAAGGCGGGTGGATCACCTGAGGTCAGGAATCCGAGACCAGCCTAACATGGTAAAACCCCGTCTCTACTAAAAATACAAAATTAGCCGGGCATGGAGGCGCATGGCATGCCTGTATTCCCAGCTACTCAAGAGGCTGAGGCAGGAGAATCGCTTGAACCTGGAAGGCGGAGGTTGCAGTGAGCCGAGATCGCACCATTGCACTCGAGCCTGGGTGACAGAGTGAGAATTTGTTTCAAAAAAAAGGCCGGGCGCAGTGGCTCACGCCTATAGTCCAAGCACTTTGGAGGCCAAAGCGGGCGGATCACCTGAGGTCGGGAGTTCAAGACCAGCCTGACCAACATGGTGAAACCCCGTCTTTAAAAAAAATAAATAAATAAAAGCTGGGTACGGTGGTTCATGCCTGTAATCCCAGCACTATGGGAGGCCGAGGCAAGTGGATCACCTGAGGTCAGGAGTTCAACACCCGACTGGCCGGCTAATTTTTGTATTTTTAGTAGAGACAGGGTTTCCCCATGTTGGTCAGACTGGTCTCGAACTCCTGACCTCAAGTGATCCACCCACCTCGGCCTTGCAAAGTGTTGGGATTACAGGCATGAGCCACTTCGCCCGCCCCTCAGCTTCTTTCTCCTGCAGAAGGCGGCCAAGCGTCAGGGTGTGAGGACTTGAAAGCACATTTCACATTGCAGAGGACAGGACTTAGTGGTCATCGGTACTCCCTTTCCTTCTACCATTTAATTTTTTTCATTGTAAAGAAATAGTAGAAGATGCCAGGACTCGATGGGCACATTTAAGGTGGAGGCTGGAAAGGTGGATATCCACCTCTCGATCCTACTATTTTCACGTTTTCCCCTCTAGACAGGGGGAAGGCCGGCGCACGTGAATGTAAGGGCACGCCTATGTGCGCGCGCACGCCAGGGCACCAGCCCCCCGACACCGCAGGTCTTTGATTGGACGCACATTTACACCTGACTGCCCGGCCCCCGGGGATCCGGTGCTTTCCGGGAAGCTTTTGGGAGAAAAGTGTGTGGCCGCGGTAGTGGAGATCCCCTGTCCCAGGATTCGTCACCGCGGTACCCAGACCTCGGCACCGCCCAGGAGCCTGGGGACATGGGGGGCGGGGCGGTCTGCGATCGGCCCCGCCCCTCTCGACCCCGCCCCCGCAAACAGGCCCCGCCCATCTCCCCAGGCCCCGCGGGCGCCGGCACCACCCCTCGCTCCCAGCATGCCGTGCGGCAGCGGCGGCGCGGCGGGCGGAGCCGGGAGGCGGGGAAGCAGTGGCCGTGTGAGCGTGAGGAGCAGCCGCCACCGCCTCCTCCTCTCCGTTCTCGTCCTCCGGGGCCCCGGCGTCGTGGGCCGCGCACGGTCCTGGAAGAGACGTCGCCTCCCCTTCATCCGCCTCTTTCTCACCGCGCCGCTCCCGCCTCCTCGTCCTGCGCTGCTGGCTCAGGCGGAACCCGGAACGGCCGTCCTCCTCCCCCGCCCTCCGCCTCCTCCTCCTCCTCCTCCTCCTCCTCCTTCTCTTCCTCCGCCTCCTCCTTCTTCTCCTCCTCCTCCTCCTCCTCCTCGGCTTCCTCCTCAGCCCCGGGCCGGAGTAGGGTGTCGGCGGCGGCCGGTTCGGGCGGTGACTCGCGCTTCTCTGGGCGGCGGCGCTTGGCCATGTCGTGTCGGGGAAGGTAATGAGCCGCAGAGCCCCGGGGTCTCGGCTGAGCAGCGGCGGCGGCGGCGGCGGCACCAAGTATCCGCGGAGCTGGAATGACTGGCAACCCAGGTGGGTGACCGGCTCGGGCCCCGGCCCCGACCTCCCGGGCTCCGCCTCTGGCGGGCCGAGGCCTAGGGCCGCGGGGCTGGGAGGCGCGGCCTAGGCCCTCCACCCCCTGGAGCCGGGCGCGGCTTCCTGGGTCTCCTCCGCCCCGGCTGGGGAAGGAAGGCCGCGGGGAGGCGAGGCCTAAGTGCCTCCCCTCCCTGCTTTTTCAGCCCGGGGCTCCCGGCGGTGGCACTGGCCTGGGGTCGGGACTAGGAGGTGGGAAGGAGGCGGGGGTGGGGGGCGTTCCAGTTCCCGCTTCCCTCGACCCTGCGTTGGGAGATCCCGCGAGTCCGGGACCCTCCCTGTTCCTCATTCACTTCCTCGGTTCCTCACTCTTTTCAGCCGCCACGTGAGGGACCTTCTAACCTGTGTTCCTTTCTGTGACCCCCACGTGTTAATACTGAAAAAAACCAAAACAGAACTCCAGCTAAGGCATGGCTCTGACTTTAGGCAGGACGTTCGTGAGTGGAGCATGAGATGACATTGTGTGACTGTTGGGGTGGGACCGACCCGCTCTGGTCTTGGGAGATGGAAGTTTTCCCTAAGTGCAAGGCCAGTTCGCTCTGGTGAACCGTCATTCATACCTGAACCTTTGAGTGAACTCTTTCGGCACCCGCTTAGAAGACTAGAGAATTTCCTCTTTTAGGGAGGATTTGATCTCAGACCCTTTTGGGGGCTTAGATTTGGATAGATGAGGAATATTAACTTTTTAAATAAATGCAATTTTCCTGTCTTTCTGATCCATTTGGGGGGTAGTTGGGCCTAATTTAGCACTGATTTATTCCAACCGCTCTTATTAAATAAATGCTTGTATTCAGAGTCTGTTCGGGATTTAACCCAATGCTCCTTAAACGTATATAAGTATATTTTACGGATAATTGATTCACGGAACTCGCCTACTTTGGAGCACAATTGTATTATAATTGTCCAGAAACTAGCCAAATAAATGTAGAACGCACAGGTTGTTTGGAAACCCTTTTGTTTCCTGATAGTTACGTGTAATTCCAGCAGTATTTGGAAATAATTTGGTAAGATGTTAGAATGTAGTATTTGAAAACTTGTTAGAAAAATCCATAAAATTATCTTTGGCTAATGGGTGGTACACTCCTTAGTCTATTTAATATGCCTTCCCAAATACTGTTATCTGTTGAGAACTGATGTATATAACTAAATGACTTTAATAATTAGTGCCTGAGTCTAGAATTGAGATGTTTAGTCGCAAAAAAAAAAGTTTGATAAATATAGCCTTGACTTGCCTTGTACCACTTGTTTGTGAGTGCTTTAAATAAACTTAGTTGATTTTTAAAAGTATTTTTTCTATAATTGATATTCTTAGTTTTGCCGTTTTGATGAAATGTGTGAAATTTGATTTTATTTTTTGGCATCCAACAAAGTAGGTGGTAAATGAATTTGACAATGGATTTTCTATTTTTTTTTTCAGTATTGTGATCAGTATAGTATATAAGAGAATTCAGTAACCTTTTAGAGGAATAAAGTGCCCTTTGCAAATAGTCCTAGAGCTTTTGGAAAAGTATAAATTGTAGTTTGTAGTTCTAAATAAATAGAGAAGAGTTGCAACCACGTGCTGGGGTCACCTGACTTCATTGCTGACAGGTATGAAGCCAAATGGCTTATGTAGTTATGGAATATGTACATGAGCTATTAATAAATATTATCCATGTTGTTTCTTTCAAGTGCTTTATTTCTTGGCTCTGGGGAGGGGCAATGGGGGAAGGGAGGAGCTTACAAGCTTTCTTTGAAGCTGTGCTTTATAACAGTTTCAGAATATAACCCCTTGGTTAAGATACTGTGAGATACGTTTTGTTACTGGGAGTAACAGGTTGTTGGAGAGATTTGGTTTTCTCCTGTTGTAGAGGGAACAGGGAAGTGTGGACCTACCCTGTCGCATAACTTGATTTGTTTCTAAGATTGTCATAGTTGCTTTGTTAGTCAATAAAAATACTCAGGTGTTTGCCAAGTCCTAAATTTTCATTAGTCAAATTTGAGGTTGTTACTCTGCCCCCTCTTCAGAAAGATGACAGACTCTAGGTAACTGACAGAATGGATCTCGATCTTCCTTCTTGCTTAAATGAAGGTTTAGAACATCTTCAAATGAAGCATGTTTATTATGGCTCATCTAAACAAGTTTGATTAAACACTTTTTTTTTTTTGCCTTTAATATACCATTTCTTCCCTGGTGTTTTGGTTGTGTTTTCGTTGATTTAAGCCTTCCCTCCCCCCCCCCCAGATGGAGTCTTGCTCTCTGTCCCCAGGCTGGAGTGCAGTGGCCCAGTCTCAACTCACTGTAGCCTCTGCCTCCCAGTTTTGAGAGATTCTCCTGCCTCAGCCTTCCAAGTAGCTGGGATTACAGGCGCCTGACTAGTTTTTTGTATTAGTAGAGACGGGGTTGGTCTCTTAGTTGGCCAGGCTGGTCTCAAACTCCTGATCTCAGGTTGGCCTTCCAGAGTTCTGGGATTACAGGTGTAAACCACTGCACCGGCTGATTTAGGCTTTGGAAAAAGCAACTCTGGTTGCTTTCTTTTAGTGTTAGTTTACCACTTTGTGTGGAAAATGACTGTTGAGTCGATTTTGACCAGACATGGTACTTCACACATACTGACAGAAAGCGTTCCAGGTGGCTGAATACATGAATGTCATATGGCAACAGAGCAAACCCATGTTCCATAGATGCATACCTCTAACAGTAAGCATTTATATGGCACTGGCTATAGTCTTCCTTTTCATTCACTGTGCTCTCAGTCATTTTTTTTTTTTTTTTTTTTTTGATACCGGATCTTGCTGTTTCACCCAGGCTGGATACTTGGCTCACTGCAGTCTAGACCTCCCAGGCTCAAGTCTCCTGCCTTAGCACCCCTAAGTAGCTGGGCTATAGGTGCTTGCCACCTGCCCGGCTCATTTTTGTATTTTATTTTTATTTTTTTGTGGAGATGGGGTTTCATCACATTGCCCAGGCTGGTCTTTAACTCCTTAGCTCAAGCAGTCTGCTCGCCTCAGCTTCCCAAAGTGCTGAGATTATAGGCGTGAGCCACCGCACTGCCACCACCGACCTAAATCAACATTTAAGAATGGTTAAGCAGGCTTAGCCTGGTGGCTCACGCCTGTAATCCCAGCACTTTGGGAGGCCAAGGCAGGTGGATCACCTAAAGTCAGGAGTTTGAGACTAGCCTGTCCAACCGACATGGTGAAACCCCATCTCAGTTAAAAAAAAAATAGCCTGGCATGGTGGCGCATGCCTATAAACCCAGCTACTCGGGAGGCTGAGGCAGGATAATCACTTGAATCCTGGTGGCGGAGGTTGTAGTGAGCAGTACCATTGCACTCTAGCCTGGGTGACAGAGCAAGACTTCTTCTCAAAAAAAAAAAAAAAAAAAAAAAAGGTTAAGCAAATGAATGGTCTTAGGTCAGTTGTATTACTTGAAATCTGTGGGTCCCTCAAGCATAAAGTTGAGAAGGTTTTGGGAGCCACTGGATGCCTCTGTTTTTTTTTTTTTTTTTCCCCCATCTGAAGACATAGGAGTGGCGGCTTCTTAGAACAAAGGGATATCTGACCTATGAAGGTTGCCCTCTTTTACTCCTCTCTCCTAAAAAATGACCTATCATTGCCAATAGCTAAAGTCTGTCATTTTTTCTACTGTTGTTTGGAAGATAATCTGCTAGTATCAATCAGGATAGAGATCAGAATGATGTGTTTTTTTTTTCTGATTCTTTTTTTTTTTTGAGACAGAATTTTGCACTTTTTTTGCCCAGACTGGAGTGCAGTGGCATGATCTCGGCTCACAGCAGCCTCCACCTCCCTGGTTCAAGCATTCTCCTGCCTCAGCCTCCCAAGTAGTTGAGTCTATGGGCTTGTGCTACTGCTCCTGGCTAAGTTTTGTATTTTTGTAGAGACAGGCTTTCACCGTGTTGGCCAAGATGGTCTCGATCTCTTGACTTTGCAATCCGCCCGCCTTGGCCTCCCAAAGTGCTGGGATTATAGGCGTGAGCCACTGTGCCTGGCATCAGAATGATGTGTTTTAAAATTAAATGTGTAATTCAAAATTGTAAATTTTAATATTCCAAAGTGATATTGATTAATTTGATGTTGGAGTCAAATAGATTGATTAATTCAACAAAGAAGAGACAGGATTGAAGTAAACAGAAAACAAGTAGATTTTTCATCTACACTTGGGGTCTTAGGACATTATTTGTGTAATTGATCTCTTTTGTTTAGTAATAGATCTATATTGGGTGTCTTACCGTGCCCAAACTTAGGATCTTTCTATACTTTTGAAAGGATGACAGTGTGTATTAAAAATACCTTCCAGGCTGGGCACGGTGGCTTAGGCCTGTAATCCCAGCAACTTGGGAGGCTGAGGCCAGCGGATCATGAGGTCAGGTGTTGGAGATCAGCCTGGCCAACATGGTGAAACCCTGTCTCTACTAAAAATACAAAAATTAGCCAGACGTGGTGGCGTGTGCCTGTAGTCCCATCTACTAAGCAAGCTGAGGCAGGACAATTGCTTGAACCCGGGAAGTGGAGGTTACAGTGAGCTGAGATGGTGTCACTGCACTCCAGCCTGGGCAACTGAGTGAGACTTTGTCTCAAAAACAAACAAGCAAACAAAAAACACCTGTTTTTGGTAGAATGTAGACAAATCAAATTATTCGAAAGTACACACATCTTTATTCTCTATTGTGAAAGACTGAAAAATGGAAATGTGTTGTAAAATTAGGAAAGCCATGTCTGATGTTGTGAGAAGCTGTATTTTTGAAACCAGAGTTGTCTATTTAGCCCTTTATGAGTTTGTACTAAGTCTGATGTTCATAGGTACATAATTTAGGGACACACATAAA